ACACACACGGCCACATACACACTTCAGAGCCACAACAAACACGGTTTACCCCATCGTAGTGTCCGTTGTTGGGCATTGATTAGGTGGAGGGAATCTGTCCTTCCTCTGACTGTCCGCATGACTGACCGCATCCTGACTTCAGCAGCATTCTCATTGGCTTCAGGTTTCCCCTGCACACTGCAGCGTCAATGCAAAGGACGACATCCACTACAACAAAAACACACACACAACACACACCACCACACACACAACACAACCACCACCACACACACAGAGAGGACCATGCAATCAAAAACAGAATACAAGACCCACATAAGGAAATGCCACACAGATTATACACAGAAACAACTAGAATTATAAGCTTTGACAGTTTGTCAGTGAGCAGTTTATAAAACCTAATACATTACTACTAGACTCAAATAAACACCATTGTAGCATAAATGTAGAAATAATGTTTTGCATTGAAGGTGAAACAATAAGTCAGAAATGGTTCAGCTATAATTATATTAGACGAGTTGTTTTGGTATTCTTTCAGCCTTAATTCACTGGTCCAGCTTTTATATGTTTGTGTGTATGTTATTGGTTCAATCTTGGCATTGGTCCCTTATAAAAGAGATGTAATAATCTCAATGGGATCTACTCGGTAAAGTTTACAGTATGTTTATTTTTATTTTTAACAATATGAGCAATAAAACAAGAGGAACTTTAAATCTACTTATCTAGGAAAAGTAAATTCCTCCTGGAACTGAATTATTTGTAAAATCGTGTGGAAACAAAGTCTCTAAATCAAAAAACAGTTTACATTAGCTTGGTTTTTGGAAAGTAAGACTTCTGGCTCAAAATGTTCTCACAACTGAAACATCTCTTTTATTTATTGACCAGACAAGAAAGTGACCCCAGCCCTGACATAAACACAGAGCCAGCTCACAATGCGTTATATCTGTGCTTCAGGTCACCATGAGCTGCCTCCAGTGGCTCACACCACCATGCTGAGGGATTTCCCGGTTGGCCTGCAGCGTTCGGGGGAGGCAGTCATCCCCCCCCGACCCTCTGCCTCCCCCGCCTCATACTACCATCAGCGCTACGTGAGTCTCAGCTCCAAATACCTCTGTATCACTACTGCTGTCTACACCTGAGTCAGTAAATCACAGGAATGGTATCGAACAATAATCCTTTTTTATCTGGTTTTTAATGTCTGTTATTGCGCACTTTAAGCTTCCTAAGAGATCCAGACATTAATGTGATAAACTTCTAACTGCATGCCGGAAACAGAAAGTCCTTTCCCCAGCAGGTACATTTACTGCGTTACAATCGCAAAATTTTGTGCAGACGTAAGGCAAAAATGAAAAGACTAGACCGGGATATAAAATAAAGAGGCAAACACACATTAATAACAAATAACAAATAAGCGCCATGGTAAAAAAAAAGCTGTATTTTCAACAAGTAAGTAAACATAAAACTGTATTTTAGGAGCCAGTAACATTAACAAATTGTAAATAAGTTGTCAAAATAAAGTGTACATTGCACACATTACACAACAGATGATAAAACCCACTTACGTTGTAAATAATAAGTGAAACCTCCTCACCTTTCCACTGTTTCCCATCCTTGTTGTCTTATTGTGTCCTTCAGTTCGAGGCAGTTGCTGATAGCCATGGCGATACCCGTGCTAACAGAGGAGGGGTTGATGGGAAGATGTCGGGACAGGCCCAGAGGCCGGCCGCTGTGCTGCCCTTCTCCATGACCCAGGACCGCCTGACTCTGGCTGTCGTCACGCTGCTGCTGGGGGGGTGGCTGGCCTTCGTCTTCACGTACCCCCTTGTGAGTTTGTGTGTCTGCAGTTTTTCAGGTTTTATTCTCCAAAATAATTGTTTGGAATTTGGTGCCAAAATATGAATAATAATAAAGTTTCAATTGAAGAATGTGTGAAGCTAAATTGCTCACAAATGCTTTGCTCCTAAGATAGACCATGAAACAAGGACAATAATGCACCATAGAAAAATATCCTGATTCATGCCTCAATAAGTGTATCTAACAAAGCATACTTAGTTACTAAGATAGTGATTATATGGCAACATGCACTTCAAATGCCTATTTTTTTATCAGTGTTTTACCTTATTTTTAAAACATTTGTGTTGATAAGCGGTTTCTGTTATTTGTATTGACACTGTTGCAAAGGACAGTTGTATGGTCTTATAATCTCTCTCAGTTATCATCCTTTTTTATGACTGATGTCTCAAACTCCATCTTATTACAGAGTTTTTCAATCTGTATGTGATTCTCCAGCGTGCAGCTCATCAGCTGAAAGCTCAGAGGCAGATGGAGGAGGCGTTTGAGTCTCGTCTCCAGCGCATGCAGACCAACATGCAGACCAACATGCAGACAATGAGCTCCGTTTCTTCAGACACAACGCTTTCTACTGACACAAACCTCTCCAGTGGTAAGTCACCTATAAAACAAGTTCCATACTATTCTCTTTTTCCTATATTTATACCTTTGGAACAGGGTAGATGCTTTAACATGTTTCTTTCAATTTCACTTGAGAACTGAAGCATTAATAGAATATATTAAGTAGTGTTGAAGCAGCATATTTGACTGACTTCTGCACTGTATCTTCACTTTCCTTTATTCAGACTCTCAGCCTGCTTCAGCTGACCCTCCACCGAGTCCTCACACTCACAGCAGCAGCACCTCAGATGTCAATTTAAATGTCACGTCTGCGTACAACCCTACAGCAGGTAACACAACAGACTGTGTATTGTTTCCTTTTGCCGCTCATCATTAACAGGAGATTTATTTATTTCTGCTTCCTTCTTGCCTTTCCCAGAAGGAAACAGTGAGGAGGTGCATGTTGGGAAAATCTCCTTCACTCCATCTGAGGTTCTTGGACACGGCACTGCAGGAACTTTTGTCTTCAGGTACTGTATGTGTATTTAACACAGCACTATTTCACATTTCAGGATACTTAATCAGCCAACTATATTTGTGTATTTGTACGTTTTAGATGGTGCAAGGCAATGACCAAATGACAGCTACATTTAAATCAGCCATAACAACAAAACCAAAAACCAAATAGATTTGTACCTTTACCTTTCCATAAGAAACATAAAAACATCTCTCCAGTGAAAATGACCTAGTTTTCCTACCACATTGAAAAATAAAACCAATATCTATTTGACAGTAGGCTTTGAAAAATGGCCAAATCTCATAAAACAGCTTTGAGTTCTGGGTTGACGATTACATGTTTAATAACTCTAAGATAAACTCTATTGTTCTGTGGCACATGCAGTACTAGGCATAATATGTTATGGTTCTCTGTTTTTGGGACCTCAGGGGTAATTTTGATGGACGGCAGGTAGCGGTGAAGCGAATACTGCCCGAGTGTTTCGAGGTAGCAGAACGTGAGGTGCAGCTGCTCCGAGAGTCTGACACTCATCCGAATGTCATCAGATATTTCTGCACAGAGAGAGACCGCCTCTTCACCTACATCGCCATCGAGCTGTGCACCGCCACCCTGCAGCAGGTCCGCACTGAAAGGCCCTTTGTTACTCAAAGCTAGAGTTATTAAGCCTGTGTTATATCGAATTCTTTAACAGAACCTTTTTTAATGCCTCAACTGTGAACAAATGAAACCAAAAACTGAGCAAATTATCCAATAATTAAAAAGAAAATGCTGTTAAGCCAGAGCAATCTTTTTTAATCTGTTTTTAGTTTGGTATTCTACTCAGGGAGTGAGAGTAGGGAGTAACAGCAAATGTGGTAAAAGTGAAAATGCTGATCTGTTTATGAAGTAATGAGTGTATGGTTAATAAGACTAGGATTATTACTGCACGAGTTCTATGAGAGTTTGTAAACTGAGTTTGTTTTTGGTATGGTTAACTGTTGTTAAACTTTACTTCATCAAGAGTTTTTTCTCAAATGTTAGCTAGTAAAGGGTGAGTCATTTTAGGGGTGAAGTGTGATTTCGTAACAAAACTAACGTGTTTTTTGTGTGTCTTTGCTCCCTGCAGTATGTGGAGGATCCGTCTGGTTTTCCTCAGCTGAATCCGATAACTCTGCTGGGGCAGACCATGTGTGGCCTCTCACACCTCCACTCCCTCAACATAGGTAACACATAGATAAATACAAGCATATAAGTACACAAATGATGTTTCTATTGTGTTACCCAGAGACAGAAGGCACTGCAGTGCTGCAATCTTATTTTTCGTGAATATTTCTTCATATATTTGGTTATTATTTATTTTAATATTGACTATTTATTGCTTTTCTCTTATAGAACCAGCAAAAGTAATTCACTAAATTGTACTTTTAACAATGAATATATTGAAACTTAAAACTTGCATATCTTAAACAGCCAAGCATTGTTCCTTCATTTCTTCTTGGCTCTCCATCGTCTCTCCCTGTAGTCCACCGTGACTTGAAGCCCAGAAACATCCTTCTGTCTGGTCCCAGTGCGCTGGGGCGGGTCAGAGCGCTCATCTCTGACTTTGGACTCTGTAAGAAGATCCCAGAGGGCCGGTGCAGCTTCTCTTTGAGGTCAGGAATCCCGGGAACTGAAGGGTGGATCGCTCCTGAAGTACTGCGGGATACTCCGGGAAACAAACCGGTACGATGCACACACAGATCTGACATACTCCAGATTGTATTTCTTTGATGCTCAGTCAACTTGATAATTAAAAATAGACACAGTTAGAAAAACAAACATATGATAATTCAGGTTTAAATGTAGATTAAGGAGTTTATTATTACGATTTTTTTTAAAGCAACTACAAATCACTTTTATTTTGTGTTGAATTGGTCGACCCATTGTGGAAAAAAGTGCTCATGTTACCCATGACAACTATCAATCGCCTCATGTCCTAAAGATCTCCATCTGGGTAGCATAGAGTAGGTTAGCCTTTAGCCTTTAAGCTCAGATTGAGACTTAAAACAGTTCTCAAAATGCATTTCATAAATAAAATAGACATTTAGTTTGACTCTTATTTCCATTCTGCGCTCTATCAATATCCCTCTTAAGTTTCTCTTTGCTATTTTTACCCCTATAGTTATATTTACTTTTATTTAATTAGATACAGTTTTTTTCGTCTCAAAAATACATATAAATGCAAAAGATGAAAAACACTGACGCAGAAGAATTTGTAGGTGCTCAGTGTTCCTCCTCTCCCCTGTACAGACGGCAGCGGTGGACGTCTTCTCGGCAGGCTGCGTGTTTTACTACGTGGTCAGCAGGGGGCAGCACCCCTTCGGTGAGAAGTTAAGACGGCAGGTGAACATCCTGTCAGGAGAATACTCACTCTCACATTTCATGGAGGATTTACATGGTGAGAGAATTAAATGTCTATGTGTCTCGTTCCATGCATAAGCTTGCATTTGTTTTATTCCAGATTTGAAGCTAGTTTAGTCAATTCCTATACAAAATCTCTACATAACATTCTCAAATAAAGAGATTTGTATTTACTAATACTTGCCTGACCTGCATTGAAAAAAGACTTCTAAAACATCATGGTTAGTCACTCTTCAACAAGCTAACCATCCTGCAAATAGGCTCAGGGCTCAAGAGATTTAACTTGAGCTTATTCAGTAGAACTGTCTCTCAAGATGAGTCACTTGAATATAACATGTATTATATGTACATGTATATGGGGTTGCTCCCAGAAAAGGGTTGCAGGCAGTATTGTAGACAGTATAAATCACAAAGATCAGCTGATGTCCCAAGCACTGAAAACACATAAAACCTGAAAATGCTTTAATTACAGACGACGTCATAGCACATGATCTGATCGAGCGGATGATCTGTGCCGAGGCGGGGTCCCGGCCCTCCACCGCCTGCGTCCTCAAACATCCGTTCTTCTGGAGCCCTGAGAAGCAGCTGCTGTTTTTCCAGGTGAGGTCCTTCAGTTGGTCGTAGACACACAAAGGAACAGCTGGCTCCCTCGTGATACAATGGCTCCTATTTTTATTACTACAAGTTATTTCTTCCTTCATCTTCACTGAACCGGAAATGTTCAAGAGTTTTGGGGTTTTCCAGAAAGGTTTAGTTTTAGACTATAACTAAAAATGAATTAGTCATTAGTGTTTATCAGTTATTTGTTTAGGTTATATCATTTCTGTTTTGATTTCCTAATCCCATTTTTTACTGCTTTTTACAGCTATTTGTTTACAATAATTACACTAAGTAGTGTAGTGTTGTTACCTGTTTGCTATTTGCTAAGCCGTGTGTGTGTGTGTTAGGGGTTTCACCAACTAATCGACTAGTCGACTAGTCGACTACCTTTACCACTAGTCGGCGCTGTAGGCCCTAGTCGACTAGTCGTGAAAAAAATGGAGGTAAACGAGGTGCTGCAAAATGCTACAAAACACGTCCGACATTCTTATGTATGGCAGTACTTCAACGAAGATGTAACCAACTCCACAGTGAAGTGTCAGTTGTGTATAGCTGTACTGAAGTACAATACAAATGCATCTGCTATGCGCAACCATCTAAANGTGTGTGTGTGTGTGTGTGTGTGTGTGTGTGTAGGACGTGAGTGACCGCATCGAGAAGGAGCCCGCCGACAGTCCGATCGTGGTCAGACTGGAGGCAGCAGGACGAGCCGTGGTTCGGACCAACTGGAGGATGCACATCTCTGTGCCTCTGCAGACAGGTAACCACACAGCATCCATTACTGCTCTGTTTACACCTGTGCAGGATGACAAAGCCTTCAATGGTCTGTAACCTTCCTGTTTCAGACTTGAGGCGGTTCAGGACGTATAAAGGAAACTCAGTCAGAGATCTGCTGAGAGCCATGAGGAATAAGGTCAGCGGGTTTACTTTACTTTTCTTCGGGATGTACCAAATAGTCTGAAGCTTCATACACAATGTTGACCTTTTAATTAAATCATGAATTTTTTTTTTTCATTCTGTTAAACTCTGTATTGCATAGTTGCAGATAAAGAATAAGCTACACTGATATTATTATTGTTATATTATTTATTGATCTTGATTGACGTGGTAGAATTGTTTCCGGCACATGTTATTCCAACCTCTCCAATAATGGTCCAAAAGTGAAAGTATATTGAAGTCATCATACCAAATAATCACAACAACATGTTTTGTTTAACAAAAACTTCTGCTTTAATCCATTTTGGTTGGCGTTTAGTCTTTTAAAACCTTTACTGTTGTCAAAAAACTGTTTGACATTTCTCAAAGGTAGGCATGCACCGTAGTAAGGGCTGTTATATATATATTACTTATATATTACCACAATAATATTATAGTAAATTAATTATTAGACTAAAGAAGTTTACAAAATAATAATACTTTTCTGCATTCGCTTGGTTCTCCATCAAGATGTCATCTCTTGACTGATGTTGACCAACCTGTTGTATTCGTTACAGAAAGTTGGTTCGATAACAAAGACAAAGTCATTTATTGAATCTCATTATTATAATTGATTGTTCTGGCGTCCTAAAATAAGACATTTAATTTCTACCTCAATAGGAGCTTCAATGTAAAAAAAACATCCAGTACAGCCCTACACTTTAATTTATTTGTTACAAGCATCCTAACTTTAATGCCTGTATGTGTTCATCCCCCCCTGCAGAAGCATCACTACCACGAGCTGCCTCCGGAGGTGCAGGAGACGCTCGGAGAGCTGCCCGAAGGCTTCATCAGCTACTTCACATCACGGTTTCCACGGTTACTGATGCACACACACGCAGCTCTGCACATCTGCTCACATGAGAGACTGTTTCACCCCTACTATCTGCACCCCAACGCCAAATAGTAATGACATGGCTCTGCACTCTATACACACACACACACACACACACACACACACACACACACACACACACACACACACACACACACACACACACACACACACACACACACACCCAGATACACTATTGTGCGATTTTGTGAGCAAGAGAAATCGCTTACAGTGCCCCGTTATTGCTTTTGTAAAGCCCTTACCGTTTTTTTGGGGGAAGATACAGTGCTGTGAAAAAGGTTTTATCTGGCTTGAGTTTTTTTTATAGATTTATCTTGTTGTTATGCAGCTGTTGAAGAAAGTATTGTAGGATTTAATTAGAAAGCACTCAAAATGCATCTCTCCACAAAAGCTGCATACATTTTTTATTTGAATAATATACAACGTTTTTAAACTACATCCATCCGGATCTTTGTTTTCAATTAAATGAATATTTCAGTAACATTTTTATTAAAAGTCCCAAAAATGTTCAAAACATGAGGGATATTTTAGTTTTAATGAAGTGCCGTCTGATTTTTTTACGAGAGGTACTAAACATGGTTAAGGGAATAGAGTTTTTATAAATAGCAGCAACAAATATAATGTCCTCGGTTATGGCCCTGGTTAGAGCATTCATTACATTAAATGACATGACATTACATGTCACATGACACTGTCATCCAAAGTGACTTACATACATTCAGTTCTGTGGGCAGTCCCCACAAAAGCAAACATTTTGCACTATGGCCCAAAAAAAATCCAGAAAACAAATCAATTACTTCTCAGTCCATTTGACCAGATTTGATTGGAATATATTTACAATGTTGAGATTTTCATCAAGGATTGAAAAACACACCTGTTTGACAACATATATTATTTCAGAGGCGTTTTTGTTTATTTATTCTTTTTCATATTTAAGAACGAGATTAACTGTAAACAAAAAGGGGGGGGGGGGTTTGTGTCTCACCGACTACTATCAGATATTTTTGAAATTGGTCCAGTATTGAGCGAAGGGGCTGCAAACGGCAGCCGCTTAACAGCACGTTGTTTAATCAAGTACATTTTTCAGTAGAGATGGAATTCAATAGATAAAAATATCATTGGCACGTTTTTAAAACTGTTTGGAAAGGACCATACAGATAAAAAAACAAATGTTTCTGCCATTGTGTCTAACCAAGACTTGCTCAGGGAGAAATCTTGTTCTGATATCTCCCGTTGCGTCCACACTGTTGAAATCAGCCGATGTTCAGAAAGCTTAGCTCGGTAATAAGCCATGACTTTGTCAATTATTTAGATAACACCGAGCTAAGCTTTCTGAACATCTGCACACTCCTCTCCTTCTGTCTTCTGGAAACAAGTCACACGGCACATTAATAAACATCCCTAAACAAGCTAAATGTATAAAAACACTTTTAGACCTCTTCGGGGGTGATCCCTCATGTTGAAAGACACTTTTAATAACAATCTGAGTCTGCATTTCGCAAAAAAACTCATTTTCTGTGGACTTCAATTGACTGCCATCTGCAGCTCTCTCAGACTCAATACTGTTCCAATTTAAAAAAGTGTCTTTCCTATTAGTCACTTAGACACAAAGAAATGAAAAATATGGTCTAGGTTGAAGGAATACCAACTTCTCCCCTTAAATAGCACTACTTGTGAGATGCACACAGTGTGTCACAGCATCTCAGACACTGGACAACAGGTTTGATGGATAATTCAACTTGTGCTGCTTTTACACGTTTTTTTTGTCATGGGATGAATCCTGGTTTCTTCGATGCTGCTGTGCTTTTTTCAGCTCCTCTACCAAAGACTCAACAATATTTACCTTGCCATTTGTTTTCATGTTTTTGTTATGTGTGTCTGGATGTAGCTACACTGACTGAAGAATGTACTGAGCCTTGATTTTCACTGAAAGCAGTACATGAAGCGTAAAAGAATATGATTGACACTGTAAAAATGTGGGCAATGTGCAAGTGTGCAAGCAACATTGTAACATGCTACATTTGCCCATTTCATTTTTATTTAAAGATATTTTATGTTTCCCTTCCTTCAACAGATGTGTTTCTGTTGAATCTCAGCATTGCTTGAACTTTTTGATCCTAAAAATATGCACCTAAATGCTCGAGAATATATGTGAAATATCTTTCAGTAAAGATGAAGGTTTTTTGCATAGGGAGGCGTGTGGCGCAGTGAGTTGTGCATATGTGTTGGGATCAGGGGGTTACAGGTTCAAACCCCACTGCAGTCAGCATGTCGTTGTGTCCCTGGGCAAGACACTTCACCCCAAATTGTTCCTGTGGGGATTGTCCACAGTATTGAGTATGTTAGTCGCTTTGGATAAAAGCGTCTAACAAGTAACATGTCATGCATTGGTCTGCAGTAGAATGAATGATGAAGAATCACACTTTTGTACTTTTCTGAGTGAATTAAACTGATGCTTTGGGAGTGCCAAAGATGAGTAAATCAAATCTTGTCGTCAGTTTGTAAACAGAGGAAGAGAAACTGTAAGATACAAATTGGTCTTTACTTGACCAGTTCAATAAGAAAGGGTTTATGGTAATTGAAAAAAAAAGTGACCATTATTTTGATGATTATTTTTTATACTTATTTGAGAAAAGTGAGATTGAAAATATTCAATACACAAAATGTAACACAAGGCTTATTTGATACATCAGAGCAAAGACACAATCAGTTTAAAGGACATATTGTTGTCTTTTCCCTTGATAAATTAAAGCTGAAGTCACAATTCCAATGTGTTGATTGGAGGTCATTCGGATCAGCTGTTGCCAGGTGTGGAGACTGGGGTTGCGTTCCAATAGTCCATTTAGCTTAGGAACCTTCCTAACCAAGTGAAATGACCCGGAAGTACGTCAGTGGCAGCCATGTTAAGTGCCGTTCCAATTCTCCAAATGAAAGGAAAGGAGGTTTCAAACTTCCTTTATAACCTCCTTTAGTT